CCCCAGGTCGGAATCTTCTCAGTCACCCAGCCCCTGTCCTAGACCCTGTGCGCCTCCTTCCTGCACCTCAAGCCCCCATCTCCCCCAAATCCGTTCTCAGATCCCACATCCGCTTCTGAGCCCCAGCCCTTCCTGCACCCGACCTCCATCCCAGACCCCGCATCTCCTCATTAATATGGCCGAGTGCGGCTCTCGACCACTTTCCAAATGCTTGGAGTGCCCCCCCCTGTCCAAAATGATTGCCCGCCCCTGCCTGAGGGGGCAATGGAAGGAAAGCCAGCTCCAGTGCCCAACGGGTCAGCTTGCTGGCAGAAGAGTCCTTTGTCATCATGGAGATGCTGAGTCTTCCGGACAGCTCCCAACGGGCCCGACGGAAAAGTCTTTCCCTAGCTTGAAACAAACTGCAGGGATTAAATGAACGCGATTTAAGTCCAGAAGAGGAGAGTGAGGCCACAGCCTGATACCAGTGCTGGGTCTGAATTAGACACAAGCGAGAATCCTTCCTGGACTCCCCTCAGCTCTCGGTGTAGCCGAAAACACTTCCCTGGCTCTGCGGCGAAGGACTGAGAAGGTGAAAGAAGCAGAACCTCCCGGGCGGCTCAGCCAGTGACCTGCAAGCGGAGCAGCTCTCCAGGAGAACAAGGAACGCCGCTCGGCTGGCATAAGAAGCCTGGCTTGCAGAGCGAGCAGCGGGAACCAGGAGAAAGCGAGCGCACTGCCATGCATAGCATGGTCCCGGCACTGCAGCTGGAAGCTGGAACGCCACGCCACGGCTGTGGGGAGCCTGGGCCGGGAGCCCAAGAAAGCAAGCTAAAAAAAAGGGTCCCTTTCTACAAAACAGGCGACAGCCGAGACTGCCAGGCGCTTAACTCTGAAATGTGCTAGTTCTAGTAGGAATACTCGGCTCACCCTCCGCATCTGCTCTGCGGCTCTAAAAGCAGCACAGACGCTCCGTGCCCATTCCAATGGGGCTGGCCAGCAGCAGCAGCAGCTCTTCATACTGTGAGGGGGGATGAGAGAGCAGCCTGCAACTCCCTCAAGAGGCTGGCGAGAGGCTGTTCTCAGTGGGGGCAGAACAAGGAGCAATGGGCTCCAATTACAGTGGGAGAGGTCTGGGTTGGAGATTAGGAAAAACTATTTCCCTGGGAGGGTGGGGAAGCGCTGGGCTGGGTTCCCTAGGGAGGGGTGGAATCTCCATCCCTAGAGGTGGTTAAGTCCCGGCCTGACAAAGCCCAGGCTGGGCTGATGGAGTTGGGGCTGGTCCTGGACTCGGCTGAGGGCTCTGCCCGCCCAGGGCTCTGTGGTTCCATTTGAAAACATCCAGGAGCAGAGACTCTCTCACGTCTAACTGTCACGCCTGCTCTCAGCGACCTGGCCACTGCCGCAGGGGAGGGAGCATTTCGGGGAAAGGGGGGGGGCTATAACTGGCTGAACACTAAGCAGAGTTTTACTGGCGCGTTCACCGTGCAGCCCCGGGCCTGTCAGACGCGTCCGGCTGCACACGGCTGCACTGCACCGGAGAGACGTCACCCTGCGGGGAATGCTGCTCCCACTTCACACCATGCTGCGTGTCGGGGGTTTGGTGCCCGTGGCTGCCCGGATGGCGCCGGCCCGGTCACTGCGACTCTGGGATTCGTTCAGCGCGGGTTCCCCTGGCGGTGAGTAATACTGTTCTCGGCATCCCCCGGGTGCCTTGTTCTTTAGCACAGTCTAAGTTTCCACACCTTTTAATTGGGCTCCTGCAGCAGTCGAGGCTCTGCGAGAGTGGGCAGCACAGCCCACGGGGCTTTCATCCCGCCCTGCGTGACTGCGCAAGGCAGCAAGTGGGCTAGAGAGTCATCCCTGGGGATGAAAATAGAAAGCACAGTGCTGCCCGCTGGGAGGCCGGCGCGATCCCTCCCTAGCAGGGGCTGCGGAGCCAGCGGGGGGCAGAGAAAATAGCACGGACGTGACGGCTTCGTTTGCAGGCTGCACTCACAGATAGTCCCATGCCCAGACCAGAAAGGGCCACCATGAGTCCCCCGCAGAGAACAGGCAGGAGACCTGCCCCCGAGCAGCTCCTGAAGCTGAGCTCCCGGAAACCAGCCCGCACCGGGGAAGGAATGGGTCCGTTACCGAAGCCAGGGCAGTCCGGCTCATGAACACACAGGGCTGCCAACACCTGAGTCTCTGTCCACAGCATGCACCCCCCGACACTGTGCACCCCGTTCTCACCGCGAAAGGCAACGATAGAGCCCCCGCTCCCCCCCACCTGAGAGCCGAGAGCGGTTTTAGAGGCTGTACTGATAACATCTGTATCCCTCTAAGTCAGTGTCCCATCAGCACCAGATCCACCGTGCAGGGCGCAAGAGAGAAAAATAAACGGTTACGAAACTCGAGAAAATGACCTGAGAGCTCTCCTACCAATTACAATCATGTGCATGAGGGCTCGCTTGGGGCCTCCAGGGCAATACCCCACCATGAGCAGGAGATGCCAGATCTTCCATGCTCCAGGTCACAAGAGACTGGACACTGAACTCAGTAGTTACGGGCGACAGGCTGCCCTGGGGCCCACCCGGATCCCCGTGAGGAATGTAGGCCGGGGCGGGACTGCGCCGCTGGGAAGACAAGGAACCTGTGCAGAGGTGGGTCATGCCAAGTGCTCCCAGTGGAGATGAATTAGGTCAACAGACTGCAGCTAACGCAGTCGGGAGGGTATCCTCACTCCAGCTCCCCCCGCCCACAACTCCTCATCTCCATGATTTGTCTACGTGGATTTCCTAATCCAACTGGATCATCACAGGCAAACTCTCTAGGCTCGTTGGTTAAGACAACACAAGTAACCCTGTATGTGGAACGCTGTGACCTCACCGTGACATCCTCTCGTGGCTTCCTACCTGTGGGGCGAGTGTAGGCCTGCCCCACCCCAAGTGCCCCGCAGTGGATGAGGTCTGGATGCTGGCAAGGAAGAAACTGCCCTTGCTGACAGAGTGGAGGAAACCCTTTGCACAAGAGGAGGGGTTTCCAGAGCACGTAATGCTGAAAACCGAGCTAACGGTCTCGCTCGCTGCTACTCACTAGCCAGGTCTAACCACCGTCACGAAGCCACTCAATACACTGGAGCAAGGCAGGCCAGGCTAGCAGAGGAGCTGGCAGGGTCCCAGTCTACACAGCAAGTGCTAAGCGCATACCAAGAGGTCAGCGATTGCAGGTGCCCAGCCCAATTTCAATGGAGCGTTTCTGGTGGTCAGTGGCAGGTGGGTGAAGTGAGCAAACTGCATGGAGCAAGGAGTTTCACGCCCAGGCCAGCTTTCCGACAGAGCAAGGAGACAACCTGCCATTTGCTCAGCACGTCTGCATTTTCTCCCTGGGTTTGCTGGTTCCCAGGCGGTGAGTCACTGGAGTGAGCCAGAGTTCTCAACACACGGCCTCCGCCTCGGAGAATCCCCCCGTGCAAGGAGACTGCGGAGGAGCCTGCAGCTTCTCAGCTATGTTGGGCTCCCCGCAGGAGGCGGAGGTCGTGCTGCAAAGGGAGGGGCTGGGCAGGAAGGGGGCGGCTGGCAGCAGGGGGTGCTGGCAGATGCATGAGGTCTGTATCAAAGTACTTCTCTTCCTCTGGGTGGAACCTGCATTTCCGTCGTGGGGAGGGTCTAAGCGCTGTCTGGACAGAGGGGGCGCGTCAGCACCCCACGGGCGGCCTGTCGCACACATCCAGCCTAAGCACGCGGGACATTACTTGCACCGTCTGTCCCTTCCACCTCACGGCTCTCTGTGCTCGTCTTATTGCAGGTGCAGGCTCTTGGGTGCGCAGGAAGCGCTGAGTCATAATGCTGCACGGGGAATAGAGCGGTTTGCACCGCCAGTGTCGGCCACACGACTCGCCTAGGACTCCGGGGTGCAAGCTGGAACCCCCCTGTGATTTCTCAGCTCACTGGCCAAGGCACTGGGGAGAGGCACCCTTCCCCCCGGGGAATCTTACCCTGGCTCGGCAAAGTAGCAGATATTGTCATGAACAACAAACAGCCGTTTGCCACCAGGCCTTTGCGATATGACGTTACTTCCCACAGCAAGTCTAAGCACGTACTGTGGCTACTGGCACAGGCTGCGCTCGTCGTGGTGAGCTCCTGTACGGGTGAGTGATGCCTTCAGACAATCATTTACATCCATTTCATCACAGGAGCTATTATGAACAATTCTCCCTTCCTGGCTGTGAGTGATGTAAGAGCAAGGCTCGGTGCCGCGGGTACAGCCCTGGGAACACAGCGCTCTAGGCTGCTGGGATAGCTCGTTTGAGGAGCACCGTGCTCTTCCAGGAGGCTTTCTCCTCAGTGGCATCCTCGCATCAGCCAGGGAAACATTTAGCAGCTTTTTCCTAAACAGGCATTTTTGCCCCTTCTCAGAACCATGCCACTGAGCACCAGAGCCCGGCAAACCACCGTGCGGAGCCCCAAGCAGAACCGGTCGTCAGGGAAACGCCACCCCGGCCTGCCCTCTTGGTGTGCAGAGGTGAGTGTGCAGGGCCTAGCACATCACAGCTACAGAATATGCCCCGAGGGGCTGAAAAAGATTTTTTCCTAACACGAGCAGCGTCCTTTTCGGCATCTTCCCGGGTCTTGAAAAGCAATGAAAAGGGGGCAAGGAGACATACGTTATAGCGCAGCATCGTCTCCTCACAAACAGCAGCGCACAACACGCTTTCATGGTCAGAGGGGCGCACGTTTCAGAGACAACCCGTTAACAGCCCATCAGACACTTCCCCAGCGGGCCGAAGGAGACGAGGGCTCAGAAGTTATTACAGGGAGGGCATTTACTGCCACGCGCGGTACGGACCTTGGCTTACACGCTGCACAGAACGACGCGTGCCCATAGCGTGCGTAGTGTCGACATCCCCACCGCACTTAGAGCGCAGACTGGAAAGCCCCTTGCGTGCCCGTGTCCAGCACACGTCAATTCCGGCCCATTTCCCTTCCCTCCCGCCCCGCCCTGCTGCGTAAAACCGGCTGCTGCGTTAAATGAGGCAGAGAGTTTCAGGCCAAGGGCCGTCCTCTCACACTGCCCCAAGTTCCAGGCCGTTCTGTTCAAGGGGGTGCTGGCCCTCCCGGGGGGCTGGGGGTAAACCAGGCTACACACCCCTAGTCAGGGGCGGTAGCTCCGTTGCCCGTTTTAGTGCCCTTACCTCCTTGGCACCCATGGCCTCAAACATCTTCTCAAGCTGCACTCTCAGCTGCTGAATGTTGTTCATCAGGATGCAGGGCTGAAGGAGGCAAAGGCTTGTTACTGAGTCGGGGGCAGCAGCGTCCAGGGCCGGTCAGTGGCATAGCCAGGGCTCCGTCCCCCCAGAGCAAACACGAGGGGGCAGATTTCAGTGCTAACAAAGCGAAGGGGCGACCGCTCGCCGACATGCCAATCCGAGGCTAAGGGCCAGACAACCTGCACGAACCCACTGCGCCACCGCCCCCCGTCTGGCCTGCAGACAGA